CCCGAAGCGTAGAAAATCAAGGTCTCACTTGACTCTCAATTTGAAAAGGACACCCTGGGCTATCAGTCTGTGAAAACAAATCAATACAATCCTATTGGAAAATTTTTACACGCGAGCTAATTCCCCAAAGATCCCCTGAAAAACCTGTTCCAGAAAGCTCTTCTGGAAAAAGTTTTGGCTATGAAAACATGTCCCCAAATCTCCTCTTTCGAATGGTGAAAATTGAAGCTCTTTAGCTTTTTCCTATCGAAAGTTATTCAAAAAACAGTTATATACCATTCTTTTTTTGGATGGACAATAGTAAATGAATCATTATTGATTAGAGCTTATACACCAACGCTCAATGGTATCGATAGATCAGCCCCTCCATATGTTTCCCAGATGGATTGGAAAGGAAGGTTTTAACAGGAATGGTCGAAGATGGGGGATTAATACCACCAAAATAATCTACTAAATAAAAACCCTTTTAGGGTGGGAGATACCGCGCACATTGAAAACAGTTTTGGCGGTATTAATCTCCCTTCTTCGACCATTCCTGCTAAAAAGGTCAAGTTTTTAATGCACATAAGATCTTAAGTGTATATTAAAGGGTGGAGGAATGGAAAACAAAATTGAATAGACTATTGAATTGATAGTCTTTCTCATTAAGTACGGAATTAATGACTCATGGAAAATAAAGAATAAACTAAAGTTTATTTTTTACTTCTTCAGTGTAATTCTCTAGATTTTTGCGTTGATAATGGCCGTTACTGGCCGAAAATTTCACAGAAAATTACAATTGAAATAAAAAGATGAATTCGGAAATAGTTGCAGTTAATAAGTCAGATTGGATTTTAAAATTGTTTCTCTCTACCGATATCGAGATTATAAAAGCGTCAAATATTTATTGTTGAAAATGATGTAAAAAGCATTGCTATAAAACTATGTAATGCATACTAAAGCTAGTCATTTATCTTGGTCCTGATCTTATCTTCTAACCGTTTCAAAATTTGAATAGTAACTGATGTGACGCATCCAAATGGAAATATAATCCATATAGTATTTGGTACAATAAAAAATAAATAATAATCTAAAGTTTTAATAACAGTTTTAGGGTATAATGTGGTATCAACCATGTTATGAATAAAAAACAGCTGAGTTTTAGCTAAAGTCATAATACTAACAATATAGAATAAGAGTACAGTAAAATTCTTCCAAATTCCTTTGCAATAATAATGATACGTAAGTAATGAACTTAATCCAATTATAATTTCGAATAGATTCATCCATGCTTGTGCTTTAACAAAGCCATTATCTAAATTACCATATAATGGGTCTACTACTATATATTTCGTATAGGGTACATATAAATAGAATAAATCGCCACCGGCCATTGTACGAGGACGATTCAATACATAAAAAGTGTCCCATAAACAGACAATGGATGAAACTGAAACCCATATGGAAGCCCATCGCGGAATAATTAAAGAAGCAGAGTCTGAATTGGTATTCTTACGAGCAGCCGTTGCACCGGATTTTAATGGATTGTTCATGGTATAGAATGTGAAATGAATGGAATGATAATTAGTGTGAAAGTAAAGAATCTTCTGATATTATACAATTGTAGCCTGACAGGAGAGTGCAATTTCTAGTGCTTGTATTTTGATATCTTAAAATCGAAACTCTTCAAATAACGATGTCAAATTTAGCGTAGAGAACAAAATGCTTTCTTTATGTATATCAGTATAAGTATACGATAGAAGACACATCAAATTTCAATGAAAAAAACGTGGCAGAAAATCTCGTCAGCGTTTCATATCTTATGAAAGATCACACCATCGTTCTCCTATGACTGAATCATATATAAAGCAGGTAGTATTTTTTTCATGCGTACATTTTATTTGACTTGAAGAAAGAAAAAAGCCACAAGAAGAAAGACGCACATGATTTTAAAATAACCTGAAAAAGAAAAAAAAATCTTAGAAGAATATCACTGTTTTAACACAGCATTACATGTACAACCTTCCAAAACTGCTATTCATAGTGAAACTTCTTGTAAGCAAGATCTTTACTTCTCGAAACTTCTCACTAAGATCTTGATATGAAAATGTAAGAATTCAAGGAATCTTAACAAGTCAAGATCTTGAACATCTTGGAATTTCTTGACTTCTTGTACCAACATCTTGAAAATTCTTGAATCATGGTTTTGTTTTAAACTCTTATTAAAATATAAGTGCAACTATTTTCACACGTCGAATAACTTCGAATTTTTTTCCTTCTAGAACATAATGATTAATTATGGTCGTATATTTTTTGACTGTATCTTTCTCTCTTTTATTCTTGTTCTCTTGCCGCTCTCCGCACTTTAATTAGTATTTTTCGGTGACAGTTTTCCAGTGTAAGCAATAACTTTTTTCTTGTTCTCTCTTATCCTGACTTTATAACATCTATGTCGAATAAAATAACAATAATAATAATAATTTGACTAATTTAACGATGACTATGACTGTCATAAATGAAACCAAATTGTAAAGAAAATTTTTTACTTAAAATCTTGCAACATCTAGAGTGGATTCACTCAAGACCTTGAAATTACTGTTCCCAAGATCTTGTGTTAAGAAATGTCACAAGATCTTGGAAAAAACACTAGGAATTCAAGATCTTGACTCCTTGAACCTTCTACTCGTGATCTTGAAATTTCTGTTCGGAAGATTTCGACCAAAATCTTGGATACAAGAAATTTCACTACGGACTAAACCAAATAAATCATGCGCACCAGCAGCAAACGTTAGTTTCTCTATGATAGAATTTTATTTTTCATAACATGGTTGATACCACATTATACCCTAAAACTGTTATTAAAACTTTAGATTATTATTTATTATTTATTGTACCAAATATTATATGGATTATATTTCCATTTGGATGCGTCACATCAGTTACTATTCAAATTTTGAAACGGTTAGAAGATAAGATCAGGACCAAGATAAATGACTAGCTTTAGTATGCATTACATAGTTTTATAGCAATGCTTTTTACATCATTTTCAACAATAAATATTTGACGTTTTTATACTCTCAGTTAACTAAACGCAGAGGACTTTTTGAAGAACTCGCTAGGTGGAAGTAAACATCGCAGTAATCGATGCTTATTGAAGACAAAATGATTTGATTCTAAACTACAGATGTGGCAATGTTGGATCAAACATCGCTAGTGAAGCTTTTGTTTATAAAGCGCATGGCTGACATTCTTGAGTCTCCTGAGCAAGAATCTCATGGATATCTCATTCGTTTTGTAAGTTCCATGACACAAACTTACACTTCTCTCTCGTCCTTTATTCCAAACGGATCAGTAGTTTCTACTGCTGTGGTCTGCCAGCAGGATCATCTACGATTCCTCTGACCTTTTACTGAAAAGCAACGAAAAGTGATCAGTTCTACTTCCTACCAGTAAATCTGGATGTGATAATTCAATCATAGTTTTCTCACGCAGGAGTATGCTTGTGGGATCGAGCTAAAAGAATTTTAATTCTTCCGTAAGGCCAATTCACATAGATGCACGGTTTATTCTACGGAGTCCGTAGAATAGATGCTCTGTCTATGTGAACAACATAAGTCCGCAGTGCGAACGGGAACAGTGTACTGTAGAAGAATGAATGTATCTGTTTGGAGAAAATTGGGCTTCCGACATTCACAACTGGTGCACAGCTTTCCCTGTTTTAAAGAAGTACTGTACAAAGGTTAGAGAACTTAGTCCAATGCTACGCAGAAGCCCCTATAACTCGTTGCTTACTGCACGAAGAAGTGAAGAAAAAATGTATCTGTTGATTTTTTAAAAATGCTACGGCAACTGCTATCGATTTATTCGATTTGTCAAGCGAGAGAAGAAAAGAAAAAAATGTCGGAAGAATGAAAAAAGCTCATAATCGACACCTACATGTATATTACAGACATTATTATTTTTATTGTTACAATTGACTGCTTTTATTTTATTTTTCCAGTGTCACTTCTGTTTTTGCTTATTAACTGTGCACATTTTCTGCTTTGTCATTCTTCCAATGCATAAACGAGAATATATATATAAGAAGTTGAAAGAAAAGAAACATATTCCATTGTCTTCTAACTTTTCTTTTCTCATTCAATATCTTTTCCGTCAATAGCAACACTGGGGTGCACTCAGACCGGCATGTCATCCTACAGAATCATCGGCGTCTCGCCTTCGACATGTACTCAGCGTACACTGTTCACCGCTTATGAGCGTGAAGCCACAGTTGAGCTTGTGCCGTTAGATTTAATGGGTGGTGCTCAAAAAAAGCCAGAACATTTGGCGAAACAGCCGTTTGGAAAAATTCCAGTGCTTGAACAACAAGATTTTGTGCTGTACGAATCACGTGCCATTGCCCGCTTTATCAACGATACGGCAACCGGTGGT